TATATGCGAAAAAGCGACTTGTTCGTACGAGAGATGGATGCGAAAGCTAATAATAATAATTCGTCTTCTTCCTCGTCTTGGAGAAAAAGGCTACTGCGCATGTGTAGCGAGAGCGATAGCCAATCAATAAATTCGTTCTATTGATGTCGACATCGATAGCCAATGGTAAAATTCGATACCTGTGGCGTGATCAGTCAGGCGGTTTTCGCAAGCGGGTGAGAAATAGCGGGAACGATGGCTTGTCAGGTGCGTGTTGCAAATTTGGGGAGCCCACAGTGACGCATTGCTCACTGAGTGGGCCTGTTCACTGAACAACATACATATATAAACTTTTGAACTAATACTATTTTCTGAACCAGCTTGACAAACTGAGTCAGAAAATAGCAAAATTTTTCAAAAGTTGCGTCATGAGGACAAATGCAATAGTTAGATTTCTATGAAATCTACTAAAAAACGTTTCCGAGGTCCTTATAAACAGTACAATTTTTACAACAGCACCAAGAAAATTCCTACAAGGACCAAGTATGATTGGCGGAAAAAACATTTAACTCAGCAGTAATTTTACATCATCAAACACATCTATCAACACAGAAGGCATTAAGAAATATTTTTTAAATCAATCAGCCGAACCATTAATGCATATTTTACAATATAATTACAGGCTCAAACAGCTGTCTCAAAAAGGATCAACCTCTGCAGAACGCAATTCAAATGTTATCGTGGACAATTCTATCATTTACGTTGATAAGTCCAGTTCCATTCCTGATTGCTCACTACCAGTTGACAGTACAGTACTTAGAGTAAGAAGTTAAGAAATGGTTCAGTATATTTGGGTCTCTTTGCTTTACGCCAAATCAACTCCTTCTTAAGCCAACTTTTTTCGATTCGGCTGAAACATTTTCAGTTCTTTGTACCTTTTCGAAAAAATTTCAGAATTTTTTTTTATAACCACGAAAAATTATGAATTTTAAAAAAAAAAAAGTCCTTTTTATTCTAATTATCTACAACTTTGTCATGAGTTAATTTATAGGACTATTTTTCTTTCAAAGTATTTATTTATCAAAGTCCTTTTCGTAAACGAATATCAAAAAGTCATGCAAATATATAATCAATTTTTTTCTTGAGATTTACGGAAAAATAACAAAATTTTTGGGCGGTTAAAATTTTTAATTTTGTTCTTTTTGTCGTTATAAGAAACATTCAAAATTAGCATTTTACTATATTCTATTTTTTTTCCCACTTGCAAAAAAAATTTATTTATATTGGAACTCATTACTCTTAATCCCGGTCTGAAACTTCCAGAAAATTTGTAAAAAAAATTTTTATACTTTTTCGAAAATTAAATAAAAAAAAAACATCGAAGATAAATTTGCATGACTATTTTATATTTTTTTCTGAAACATAGATCAGAAAAAGAAAAATTTTTAAAAATTCTCATGTAAGTTGAATTTTGGCGAATTTAGAGATATTAGAATACATAAGGGAATTCTTTTTTTAAAATTCGTATCTTCAAACCATTCACAAATGGCTTTAATATCGCCCTATGATGACTAACAAACCCTACACAGATCACTCAATAACTCTTCATAAACCTTCTCAGTTATCGCTGAGATATCACTAAGTGATTTTCGTAAGATTACCGGCTAATTTCTCAGGCATCATTCAGTAATCGCTGCGTACACTTTGAATTATGCTATAATTACCTCGCAAGGCCGCAAATGAATTTTTAATTGACTGTAATCATTAAATTCCTTCTTTCATATTATAAGGATTGTCAAAAGTCAGATTGTAGTGGTCATGATAATATCAATCCGAATGAAGTTGTTACCTCCATTCATGAGATCCCGAACATAGCAGAGTCCTCCACTCATCATATTTTGTCTCACAACGAAAGAAAGATTCCGAAAAGTCAACTAATCAACAATCTGCTAGTTATGGCCATCAAGTGGCGACGCAATACTACTCACACCGTTGCTCAAGATATCTTGAATTTAGTAAATCTTTCAAGTAATTCGGGCACACCGAAAGCATCGAAATATTACTGGAAAATTCTTATCGATCGGTACTCCCAAAATGTCTCCACTCACTACATTTGTGAACAATGTTACGAGTATCATGGCACCGATAAAGATCTCGTGAAATGTCGCTACTGTAATTCGGAAATCAACCAAAAATCTAACAACGGTTCATTTCTGTATTTAGCCTTGACTGGCCAGCTACGGGAAGTTTTCGAAATGACTGATGCCCATAACTTATACTCAAAAAATCGTCTAAAGCAATGTAAATACGCTTTAGAAGATATTTATGACGGTAAAGCTTACCAGAAACTTATGGTTAATGATGATTTAATTTCTATTAACTTCAGCGTTGATGGAGCACCGGTTTTCGAAAGCTCAAACACTTCTGCTTATCCTGTGCTTTGCACGATAAACGAGAAACGATAAAGAGTCCTTGGGACAGAAGAAATCATATTATGATGTCTAGCGTTTGGTTTGGAACCGGAAAGCTAAAGAACATGAACGCCTATCTAACCCCGTTTGTGACCGAAGTCAAAGAACTGTTGAAGAATGGATTCACGTACACATTAAATGGTCAAACATACAAGAAAAGAGTTTTTACTTTGATGGTTGTATGTGATTCTGTTGCTCGGCCGCTCGTACAATGCACTACACAATTCAATGGCAATTATGGGTGCGGCTTATGCCTATATCCTGGAGAATCAATTGAAAAGGGTCAAGGATTCGCTAGAGTTTACCCTGTTATCAACGGGGAATTTTTTGGTGAAGGCTTACGAAGTCATGAGCAGACGTTGATTCATACCGAGGAAAAAACTCAAGAAAAGAAGAAAAGAATCAAGAGAAAGTCGATTTTATGTGACATACCAAATTATGACATCATAAAAAATCTAGACGTAGATTGGATGCATTGTGTTGCATTAGGTGTTTCTCGCCAATTTGCAAATCTCTGGTTTGATTCAAAAAATTCTGGTGAAGCATTTTATTTTGGAGACAAAATTGATCAAGTAGATTCGTATATTCATTCTCTTTCTCCAACGAGTGATTTCTCCAGGATACCACGAGGACTAAAAGATCGGGTTCACATGAAAGCTCACGAATTGGTCTCTTCTTTTAGGATACAGTTTGCCTATATTAAATATTTGTTTTTCTTCTAAGTTCGTAGAGCATTGGGCATTATTGGTTGAGGGCATTTCAATTTTGACTAAAAAATCAATAATGAAGTCCGAAATAGTTTATGCCGATAAATGCTTGAAAGAATTTATTGTTGGAGTTGAATCATTGTATGGCAAAATGTATCTCAGCTTCAACGTTCATCTTCTGGTACATTTAGCGATAAGTGTAGAAAATTGGGGACCTCTGTTTACACACAGCGCCTTTATATATGAAGATTTCAACCAAATAATTGAAAACTCGATTAAGAGCCTCAATGGAGTATCAATACAGATTTGTGACTCGTTTCGACTCAAGTGCGTTATTGACCGACTGCGGAATATATGCCAAAATGATTTAAATAATAAACAAAACCAGTTCTTGAATCGACTTCTCAACAAAAAATCAAGACCTATCTCTAATCTGCAGCTAGGAGATTGTAAAGTGTTGGGAAAACCTGTTATTTTAAGTAATCTGAAAAAAATCTACAGTCTAGCACTTCGCCGGTTAAATGTTGATTTTCATACAAGTACGGTAATCTACAGCTTCAAGAGATGCATCATAAACCAAGTGACCAGTAAAACTTACAATCGCGAAAAAAAACGTAGCAACTGTACTGTAATTTTGAAAAACGGTCAAATTTTTGGAATTGAAAATTTAATTGGATTGAGACAGAGTGACAATACAAGCAGCTATTTAATTGGTCGATATTACGTATTAAAAAATAAATCACTGATAAGAGACAGGAAACTTGACCACTTGATACCATTAGCCGAAAAATTAAAAATTATAACTGCCGTAGAAAGTGACATGGTAGTGCAAAAAGTAATGATTATTAAATTGGATGACAATCACTGTGTTGTTTACGCCCATTCATGCAGCTCAGAGATGTTATCATAATAAATAATGACTAGTTTTGTAAATAATTGAAGATATTTTGTAAATAAGTGTTGATATATTGTAGTTGATAATAAATTACGTACTGATATCGTTTTAGTTCTTTAAACTTAACCTGAAATCCATCTAGTATACTATAGTTTCTAACCCAACATCGACTATAAAGACAAATTCATCCAAAATCTGTGTAAAACCTGATAAGACCACACGAGTTCTTTAAACCTAACCTGCGATCCTTTTTATAGCTTTTGATCACGCATCAAGTATCAGGACTGGCTAAAAATCTATGTAAAACCATCTGTTCCTTGAACCTAACCCAAAATTCATCTTATATCTTCTAACCAAGCATCGACTATCAAGATTAGTCGAAAATGTATGGGATAATTTACAGTAAAAAAGTTATGGCGACATATAACATAATTTTCATACATGAATGAGATCTCAATGGTGTACTTAATAATGTAATATGGCCAGGTTTATTAACTTTTCTGGGTCAAGATCGTCGCAGCCTCAAAAACCGTCGCGTCTTATTTTTTAGAAATACCACATTCAATGTAAAATCGTGCGGTGTCTGTCGAATTTTCATAATTTATTGACATTATTTTGAATTTTTTACTCGTCATCAAAAGGAATAATTTCTTCTTACGGTCTGTTGACGAATCATCTTTGTACTAGAGTTTCCTGACATCTTTTTTAACTTCCCGCTAAGAAAATTGAAAATTTTTCACTAAAGGGAAGTTATTCATTTCGGTCCGATTTTCGAAAGTCGAGTTTTCATCGGATCTAAAATTAATTTTATAAAAGTTAAAATTAAATAAATATTTATTATTTAAACAATGTAAATTTATAATTTAAAGTTTTGGCACATGGTCCAGATAAATTATTTTTCTCCTTCGTATTTCTCCAGTAAGAAGCTTAGTTCCCGGACAATTGATCGGATGAAGCTGCGAATTGTAACTATTCCCGCGGTGATGTCACCGTGTCTGTACGTCTATATGTGTTGTGTGTGTGTTTGTGTGTGTGTGTGTGTGTGTGTGTGTGTGTTTGTGTGTGTGTTTGTGTGTGTGTGTGTGTGTGTGTGTGTGTGTTTGTGTGTGTGTTTGTGTGTGTGTGTGTGTGTGTGTGTGTGTGTTTGTGTGTGTGTTTGTGTGTGTGTGTGTGTGTGTGTGTGTGTGTTTTTCCCTTTAGGGAGGGGGGGATCCTTTTTACGGATTCTAGGCATAGATGTTGGCCCGGATATGTGGTGACTCGACGCAGCGTCATACTAAAAACTTGCCGCTGACGCCCCTACCCACTAAACCCTAAACTCCTTTCTCTTCTATCCTCTGATCCCCTATGGTACCGCCGTAAGGCATTTCTTCGTGGGGGGAGGAATTAGCTGCCGCTCTTCTTTCTGGTGGCTAAGATGTTATCTTCCTTCTAGTTTCTGTCTTTTGCTCTTTTTCTCTCGATGGAACGCTGCTCTGTAAGCACTTCTGTGGCAAAAGTGTTGGTTGCATTCCAGACAGCTTCTGACAACATTGCCTCTACTATTGACTCTGGTTGGTTTCTCTTCTTCAGAATCTTCTCTAACTCATTGCGCTGTTGGTTGAAACGTGGACACACAAAGAAGACATGCTCCGCATCTTCATTGACCCCTGGACAGGACGGGCACTCTGGGGTATCGTCATGCTTAAAGCGGTGGAGATACTTCCGGTAACATCCGTGTCCTGATAACATCTGCGTTAAGTAATAGTTGATCTCACCGTGACTCCGGTTGAACCACTCATCAATCCGAGGTATGAGACGGTACGTCCACCGACCCTTATCTGAAGCGTTCCACTCTTGTTGCCATTTTGCGATGCTGTGTTGCCGTTCTTCGCTTCTAAGTTTTTCAGGGCTCAGTGTGTGTGTGTGTGTGTGTGTGTGTGTGTGTGTGTGTGTGTGTGTGTGTGTGTGTGTGTGTGTGTGTAAATAAATTTTTGTCGTACTGTTTCTCAAAAAGGAATCACCCGATTGAATTCTACGATACGTCATTCGAAAGGGTTTATTTTAACTTAGATCTGATTAGATTTGAGAATTAATCCATGGAGCTATTCCAAAGAAATTAAAAAAAAAATCATATTAAAACCATGCATACATTTTTGTGCTTAGAAAATTGCATTGAATGCAATTTAAAAATGAAAATTGAACGACGCATTTAAAAGTTATAGTTGTTTACAAATTCACAATATTGTGCTTTTCGGTATTTTTTAAAAATATCTTTGAGATTTCTTAACCAATCAATATTAAACTATACATTTTCTTGTGTGCTTTAAAAACTGCATTGAATATTTTTTGAAAAATGAAAATCCAACGACCCATTCAAAAGTTATAATTGGTTAAAAATTCACAAAATTTTGTTTTTCGGTATTTTTTTAAGATATCTTAAAAAACGAATCAATACAAACTTATCGGTTTTTTTGTCCTTAAAAAATTGCGTCAGATGCTTTTTTATAAAAGAAATTCGAACAAAGCACTCAAAAGTTATAGTTGTTCAATAAATACATTTTGAGGTCGAAAAGCTCAAAATGTGAAAAATGTTACTTTGAACTTGATGAGCTCAAATATTAACTAAATAACGCATTTTAGGGCGCTTCAAATTCAAGCTTAGTGAGAAGTTCTAGGGTTGGCCTGCATGGTCAACCGATTTTCAGATTTTTTTACTTATAATATATCATTTAAATATATTTTTTAACACAATGAAAATTGTATCAACTCATGTATAATGAGCAATATATTTTCAATCATATAATAATATATAAAGTTAAAAATATATTTTACATTATATACTGTTGTAATAAAATAACATGTAGATATACACATCCATATATGCAAATAATTTAAAAATATTTTTTCTAGTATATAAAGAAAGTATTTATGTACATACATTTTCTTTATATATCCAAAATATATGCCATGTAGTTATTAAATAACATATATCTTATTATACTTCATATGTCCATACATGTACTGTAGATTTTATATTCTAACATGTATCCAAATAATTTATTTCATATATAATTAAAAAAATATATTAAATCATATAGTTAATTTCGCCAGATATATTTAACCATATCCATAATATATTTTGCTTTATATTATTATCATATATGTTTTTTTCATACGGGTTGTTAAAAGGGCGCAACACAATTACAAGCTTCTGTGTTGGTATAATGTCGAATAAACACACACAACAACCTTGTTAAAAAGGCGCAACACAATTACAAGCTTATATATTACCATTAATTATTTTAATTGAAAAACTCTTGGGATCCAGGGGCGAAGCCCTGGCAAGGCTTGGGGGGCGAAACCCCCATTTTAATTAATTAAATTTTATTAATTTTATGAATTACGATTAATTATTTAAATTAAAAAACTATTGGGGTCTAGGGGCGAAGCCCCGGCGGGGGTTGGGGGGCGGAGTTCCTCTCCACAATCCTTTCCTACCAATTATCCTGTTACGTGAATGTTGAATCGCTTCACGTAATAAATTATCCGTAACTCCTATTCTTTCCCGCTTCACAGCATTATTTATATTTGTTAAAAATGGTAGCCGTAAGATGGACGGTGTGGCTTAATGTTGAGACACTACAAATGTCCCGATTTTATCAGCCTGGCAAACTACCACCCGAAATTTTCGTTACCGACGCTCGCTAAATAAATGTGTAGCTCCCGTGACGTCCCAGGACGACACGAGGAGAGGAAAAAAACGGTTACGAACCTCAAACCTCAAGCATTGATCAACACTTTGATCTATCCCCTGGTAATAACCACCACGCTAGATTTTCTTAGTCATTCTTACCACTATACCACTATACAACTATTAGGTGACTACTCACCAGAACCTTAAATAACTTAAAAGTTTATTGTCTAAAATAATTAATATTATTAATTATTTTCTACTTATATATTATTAATTTTGTATTAGGTGATTATTCACCACGTTTATCATCATTACTGTTTAATTAATAGTTTTAATTAATAGTTTTAAGTATAAGGATTCAGTCTATTAAATATTTCTTTAATTGCGTTACCGAGACATTACAAGTCTTGTTTAAAGTGTTATTTTTGTGAAATAAAGTTAAGTTTATCGTTATTAATGTTATACATCATTACTGAATCACCGCCGTTCACTTGTCCATTTGCTACGACCGTTTTATCTAACCAAAAGGGTCAATTAAGGACGCAGAACATTGTAAGTAAAAAAAACAATATAACTGACACACGTGAGAACTTTTGCCAGACAGCAAAAATTATCAACTAGAATTAATACATATAAATCAGGGAGCGGAAAATCCCCGAACAGCGTATCCCAATTAAACGAAGCTTAAGTGATCATTTACCTATCCGCAAGGACTTGATGACTTAAGTAATTGAATTTTTCAAGTAAATAAAAGTTCAGTGTTTCAATGTATATAGAATAAGTGAAAGGAAATTTAATATAGACCGGATAGCTCAAATGGTCGAGTAGCCGACATGTCTTCGGAAGGTTCTGGGTTCGAATCCCAGTCCGAGCTATCTAATCATTTTTTCTCGCATATTCTATAAACTCACATTAAGAAGTTCCTCTCCACAATCCTTTCTCAATCCTTTCCTATCAATTATCCTGTTACGTGAATTTTGGAACGCTTCACGTAATAAATTATCCGTAACTCCTATTCTTTCCCGCTTCACAGCATTATTTATATTTGTTAAAAATGTTAGCCGTAAGATGGACGGTGTGGCTTAATGTATATAGAATAAGTGAAAGGAAATTTAGTATAGACCGGATAGCTTAAATGGTAGAGATTAGCATGGCAACGAAAAGCGACAACAATGAAAACGTCACATCAACTTTTTACTAAAGGATTTTATTTTGAGAACGATTCCTATAATGGTATAGGAATGATTCCTATAATATTCTAGGAATCCTTCCTATACCATTATGAAAATAGTTCCCATAATGATATAGGAACCAATACTATATCATTATGGGAATATTT